AAAAAAAAAAGCAAAAAGTAATGCCAAATTATCGCTGTATTTCCGGTATTTGTTTTCAGCAAATAAAAAGCTGCCTATTGTCATTTCATTTCCCTTTTTCCTTTCAAATCTTTCTTAGTTTGGTTAATAAAAAGAATAAAAATTATTAGGCTTTTTTTTTCTTACACTAATTAATCGGTGAAAAAATTTTATGAAAGATAGTAAAAATTTTATCCATTTTTTACTCTTTTATTGTCAATTATACACTAATTAATGTTAATGTTTCTGGGCTTTTTTAATTGTTGGTATTATTGTTGGTGGTGGCGCTGGTCTTGATTTATTTTAGGGAAACGAGGGGTATATTAGTGCAAAAAAGTCGAGCCCCAAAAATTCCATCACCATTTCGGCCGAAAAAAATTGGTGAACCAACATATTGGAGTTGTTTTCCGCCAAGAACAAAACACTCACTGATTATATGCAAAAAAATTATTGGATTTTTAATCGAAGCACGTCGAAGTGGTACCGGCAGAATTTCTATCAAAGAAATACTAGATCCGAATGATCATGATCTGCGCTATCTAAGTGTAAAACCGGTACATCGAAGAGTAAAAACACATCACCATCGAAAAAATAAACTACCCAGTCGTCGGCAAGGCATTACCGGAATTGCCAAAAGTATTAGGCACAATGTTGCTGTATCCAACAACCAAACAGTATCCAACAACCAAACAGTATTCAACAACCAAACAGTATTCAACAACCAAACAGTATCCAACAACCAAACAGTATCCAACAACCAAACTATCGCTGCAAATCATTCCGGTAAAGCGCATGCACGAAAAAATCATACCAGTAAAACACAAGCACAGATTAACAGTCGCTTAAGGAATCTGCTGCCAAGTAACTTGTTAGAATCAATATTGGTACTCTCACCTGTAAAACAGTACGATAACAGCAGTCCAGATCCACAAAATGTGCTAGTAAACTATCAAAGTTTGAAAACTGATGGAGGTTCAGTATCGTCAACAAAGGCTAGCTATCTGCATACACATGAATCACAAGTGCCGCCAAGATTGATGGGTGTTTCACGACAAAAAATGTTTGGCGACATGGGATTCACGTCAAATTCACCGCTACTGATCCGTCAAACATTCCGACACCGGTTGCTGGATCCAATTGACTAATTTTGAATGGATCCTATTGGACATGCAGCACTAAATGATATTCTTGCGTTTTGTAAGTCTGAACCAGTAACTTGATCTTGACCTTAATAGTAATTTTTAAGTTAACTTTAAAATTTCAGTAATTTAAAGCACAAGAACAATTTATCCATACACAGTAATACAGAGATCAGTTTATAAGTAATAACCAAAATCTACTTCATGGATATTAAAACCACAGATTTAATAGAACCATCCATTTCAATCGCCGTTTTTTGCCATCAGCAGTTACCGCTCCAAGAGCCGACAAATCAGATACATTTCATTGATCTGAAATCTGTATCGTTTTTTTATGACCAGTGATCAAATAATGAAAAACCGTCATCAATTTTAGCAAGAAATAATTTAATTCAAAATTCGTTTTTTTCTAAAATTTTTTGCCGTTTCTCCATTTCGATTTCTATAACCATCCTTTTTTACAGGTATCCCGGGTATCTACCGTAACTCTACCTCCAATACAACAGCAAAATAAATAAATAAATAAATAAATAAAAATAAATATAAACAGGCAGTGAGCAACACAATTCACTCTCCGGACACTCATCGACAGCGTGCATCAGCGGAATGACAAATGAAACAATTTTTTTACTATCATTTTTGTTTGCCAAAACGAATTAATGAGAAAATTCCAAATAAAATCTTTCAAAAACGAGTTTCAAAATGTTCACTGAGCAGCGTAATTGTTTTGTTAGCACAAGACAACCATAGCTGAAGTAAATATGAAGTCTCCAAATATCACTGTATAGCACCACCTTTGTGTACGTATTTTGCTTTGTGCAAAACTGCCCAATGTTGGTCCATCACTATGAATTTTTTATTATAATCATAGAATTTGTCCTTTGTATTTCTAAAAAATTTTGTTTCAATTTCTATCGTATTAGAAAACGCATTACTTATTTGTGATCTTTGCTGGTGGTAACTGATTAGTTTGCAATACAATTCTGCTTTCTTCCATTTTATACTTTCATTCAGAAATTTTCAAGTATTAACTTCGTTTTCCCTTTCATTTTTGTTACCGTTATCGTTGTTATCGTAATCGTCGTTGTTGTTGCTGATGCTACCGTTACAATTTATACAGTTGTTCAGATAACTATAGATACCACAGAAAATGTGTGACTTCATATTTTTACAAAGCAAAAAAATTCTCCAACAAATAATCAAAATTCCTATCACAAACTCTGCATTTTCCAAAAAATTTACAACAATTCTTGGAGTAATGATCACTCAAAAACGTTTAAAACTATTTGAAATGGCACCTCCTCCCACCCTTTGAAAAAGAAATAAATGAATATGTTAATGAAAAACAAGCCCTTTTCCTTTCTACTCTTCATTAATTATCAAGCCATAATCTGTCGTAAAGTTGGTGAAATTTAACCGTTTGACTGCCAGAAATTTTCAACTGCATTGATATGTGTGCAAAAGCAGGAAGAAACCTAACAATGAATATGAAAATCACTTTAAAGGTAAATCGGGCTGTTAGAAACAAATGCGGATTTTTGTCTGCAGACTTTTCTAGGCTCATAGATCTGCTACCCTAAGAGCAAATTTTGTAACAATACCTACCACAACATGTAAACTTTGAAGATATCAGAAATGACTGAAATTGCAATTAGTTTCAGAAACCAGAACGCAAAAAAGTCAGAAAGATTATAGTGCGAACTCGATTAGGCAAAAATTACCTAGCCACCATGGAGGACAAATAAATAACTTTGTCGCGGACGGCAAGGGATCTCATCTATCAGAGTTGCCTCCAAAGAAGTTATCTTAAACAGCCTTATCTGCAACCTTAACCCGCTCAACCACTGTGTAATAGCTCTCGTAAATGACAAAAAATGACAAAAACGCAGCTCAAAGATGATATTAAACCGGATCTAGCTCTCTAAAATCTCTACCAATTTCTACCACTTAACCGGAATTGTATTTCTAAGCGAGAGCATCTCTAACTTCAAGGAACGGTCATGTAATTAGTTGCACAATAACTTTAGTTTTTGTTCCATTTCAAAATTATAAGTAGTCACCAAAAATACCACTCCCTTTCGACGATCTTCCTTAAAAATGAAGTTTCAAAAGAACATCACTGTTTATTTTTAAAAAAATTATTTAAGAATTGTCCTGCTCTGGAGAAAATAACATTCTAACTAATGAAGCTAATTGAAAAATTAATTATAATCTTCCAAAAATGAAAAAGACAAACATTTCCACAAAATGATTCAGCATGACCCCTAGTTTTTACACCAAGCAACTCAAAAAACTTACCAATGCATAAACTTACTACTTTAAAAAAACCAGCCAAAGATATTACGAGTAATAACGCTTATTATTATCCTTTCGCAGAGCTGCTACTTACAGCTTCCTGAAGGCAACATTACTTTAATGTGTAACAGAACAGCGATGACCCAAGCCAGAAATTCTAAAGGGAAGGAATAAAATTCGATTCCAGAAAAATAAAAATCCTCATTGACGCAGAGGAAAAAAGAATCACGTTTACCGTTTTTTAACGCATTTTTTGACGGTGGATGTTTAGAAACATAATAACATGTTCTGACCGTAAAAAATTGGTAAGAATAAAAAAAGTTAAAATAAAAAACCAAAACGACTTTGCAGACGCGTTACCGCCTTAAATGAGGTTATTAGAAAACTTAAGAAGAGGCTTTATAGAACTGATAAAGAAACTTAAACTATTAAAGTAGAGGACACTTAATCTTATATGTTTCTTAACCTGGACACTACCCAATGAATTTGAAAAAGGGAATAATTGATTAAAATGCAACTCAAACGCTATTTTTTCACTTTCTGAATCTTCAATTAAACTGCGCTGCTGGGTCCTCATGTGTACCGCTTGCAGCAATTTCCGCATCGTACAATCGCCACTCCATATCTGCTGGTTTGGTCTTATCTTCATGCAACTGAACATTTCTGTTATCCTTTTCGAAATTTTCAACCTGTAATTCAACTCTTTTCCCCATAACAATGCATAACCATCAAAACAAACCATATTTTTAGCCTACATAAAAACGTACAAAATTTAAGAAAATTTTTTGAAATGACAAGAAAAATACAAACCTGAACCATAAGATTCTTTTCAGGATCCATACTCAAACTAGTAATTTCATTAAAAATTTCGGTAGCAGATGGAAGATTTTCGGTTCCAATTTTTCCGAAAAAGCGCAAAACATTTTCAATATCACGTAACAGAAAAAAAAGTGCCCTTGGATGAGAAGAATCCATAGCCTAAAAATCCTCTTATTTACCATACTTCAAATATGAGTATTGTCGAAACTGAGCAAACAAATCTGTCGGATGTAACCTCTCAATTCTTGAAAAGGATCTTAACCTTAAGATCAGCATTACTTCCTCTACAATAAATTGCCCCCAATAAAACATCAAAAATCTAAAAAATTTATTAACTTTAACAAAAAATGCAGCTTTAGATACATATGACAATAACAAAATTTGGAAAAGAAGGAAACTGACAAAAGAAAGGCACAACATTTGTCACCTGAGAAACATCAATAACGTAGACATCACCATCATGATACAGCAAGTTGAACTCACTAAGATCACCATGAACAAGGCGACATTCTTCATACATGCAAGTCATAGCCTGAAAGTACATACTGTAGAAAGAAGTGAATACCAAAAGTCGAGAATACTAACCCGTCACGATTTTTATATCTTTGAGGAACTTACATTCACTTTTTAAAAAATCTTGATTTGATAAATACTGAAAGACTACCTTTCTAACTTGTTCAAAAGCATCAGTTTTATGTTCATCATCGTCCCAGACCACATCCTTCAACTTCCGTGCAGCTACACCGTTAGATCCGATTAATGACATTAGCATAACATGTTTTTTAAGCCGTACCGGTTCCGGACACTTAATGCCTGCCCTAACCATTCTAAAAGAGTCCCCTCAAAAACACTAACCGATCACGTCAAAAAGACCTATTCTAAATAATAAACAATACGACAAACAATTATGCAAACCTGTGGAGGTTCATAAACTCCTTTTCTGCCCAAATACGAAGAACGCCTCGAGGGTTCTTGAACCTGTAGTCATTATACACGTATTCTGACCGATTCTTAAACTCACTTAAAGTCATTTTGTACACTTTTATTGCAAAATGCTGCTCCTCGACATTAAGAATCGAATCTTCCCTAGTAACACCGTGAAGCACAACTGACTCCTAAACACACCAAGGGTTACTTGAAAGGCAGAGGGAACAGAAAAGGCATCTAATCGCACCTTTCCAGTAGCAATAACCCCTTCCACAGAATCAAAGAATTTCCCAGAATTAATCCACTTGTATAAAATCATACGAGTAACAGCGTCAATACTCTGTTCATAGGTCGCTTTCTCCTCTTTATCCTACAATACACAAATCACAGATTGAAAATTAAAACAAATGATAAGGTTTTTTAAAAAGTCATTACTAGGTAGAAGAATTGCACACTAGATAAATTTGAATCACTTCTCCTCTCTTGAAAAGAACCCAATAGATGAAAAATATTAATGCTGCTCAAGCAATGACAAAAATGACATTGACAATACCGAAGGGGAAAGACAAGAAAAACAAACCTTCACACGAAC